ACGGAAATGAAAAAAGTTTTTTGTCTCCAAGTCTTACCGTTCAGGAGTTTTCTAGACATCAAGGTCCAAAAAGGACCCTGAAGTGTTTCCCAAGATTTTTTAATATACTTCAAGCTGGGGAGTTCGGGTTTGTTTTGTTTTAAGCTAGGCACCTAACTACATCGTCTGACCGGCGCCGATTTTTCAATTAAGCTTTTATGGGTTTTCCAGGCAACCAACAAACTCCAAAACTCGAAAAAGCCTTCCGGATTTTCTAAAAATCCTTAAGTTGATAAAAAACTAAGACCTAATTCAAAAATCGACGCCAGTTAGACGATGTAGTTTCTTTTTCTCTTTTAAACAAAAAAAGAATAAACTCTCTGTGACAAACCGCTATAAAAAAATCTTGGGAAATACTTCAGGTGTAACTCTTATATAGAGAAAACGCTGTATGAAATACTCAATTTTAGAAAAAATCAATTTCAAAAAGTCTTCACTATTGCCGACCCAAACGATAGATTATTTAGGCTTTATGTTAAACTCTAACTCAATAATATTAGAACCCCAGAACAAAAATGAATATGATTACGAACATAAGGGTTCGAAAAGTGAAAGAAAATTGATTTTGAACTTAAAAACTTTTCATATATTCATTCACTAATAGCTTGTTGTCCGACGCCATTTGTCCTTCAGAGGAAAAATAATTCTCTCTTTCTCATAGCTCTTTCTCTCTCTTCTTCAAATTTAGTTTCCATTCCATTTTCCTTAAATCTATCTTTTAAAGCAACTGATATCACAATAAAGGTGATGTAATGAATCCCTTACTGACTGTGGACCGCTTCTAGCAGATCAGAACGGATACAGTCTGTCGACATCGCAACTTGTGTGCAGTGCAATTGCAATCTGGTTTCATATCGAGAGTTAGTAAATCCTCTAATAAAATTATCTATTGTTAACATACTCACCGATATTGTCTTGGATCCAATGGATTTGGTTGATTTAGCGCATTAAATAGAAACATGTGATCAATTTATTCGCACCAATGTATCTAATCGTTTACAAGTTATTATAAATCAAATAAACTTTTTACGTGATGAAGCGCAGCGGATTATGGATAAAGCAAAACGCGATGGTAAGCTGAATCATTATGCGTGTGATTTGGTACGGAAAGCGGGGCAAATCTATTATTATTATCAAAGTGAAAGTCGGCAAAAGTACATGTCGATTCTGGCTGGTTAACAACTAACAATAAATGTCTTAATAAAGTTTTAGGATGATACGCTCTAGAATATGACAGTTCATGAGCAAGAATACAAACAGAATTCGATGAGGAGAATGATGAACGCTTAAGGAACAGTAACGTGAAAGATTAAAAACGATTGAGTTCTTACTCAAAAATTAACTAGTGTATTAATTTCTTAATTAATTCACTGATAGAAAACAGCCGGAGGATTTTATTGAGAATTTCAGATTTCTCGTATAAGGATCATGATACTCTAGGCATAAACACTAAACCAGAGAAAACAAGCAAAAAACGATGCACAGTAAAATATATGATATTAGGAACAATGATACTACGTTTCTTTTATGTATTTATGTTTTTTCAACGTTTTTCCTGTGGCAAGATAATATTTGAATGTATTTTGAGAACCGTTTTCGACTGACATCACGTTTCATTATCCAAAATGGAGTGAAAATGTGACATTTTCTTGGTTACATGTTTCATTCCCATAGGCCAGAATAAATGGAGGGTCTCAGTATTTTGCGTATAACTTGGTTTGGATTTCCGAGACTAGATGTTTTTTTTTAAAGATGTGCTACGAAATACTCTACACAATCAAATCTAAACTATAATTTCAGAACTTCAATCAAGAAAACTAAGCCAGTTAGAGGAAAGTCGAAAAAAATGAAAACTTTCTAAATTCAAAAAAGATTTCTTGTGGTAACGTTCTGAAAGTAAGGAAAATTGAATTAGTCATTTTGTAGCCCTGGCTTCGCTCTATCTTTTAGCTATACTTCAAATTTTTTTTACATCAAAAGCTACGATGAAATAACAGTTTTTCTGACGGTTGTCACGCATTTTTTCATTAATTTTTTGGATATAGTAGTGCTTTCACGAGGGAACCTCTCAAAATGTACTCTCATTTTTTTAACGAAATGTAGTGGGCTGTAGGTAATCGACAATGCTGATTTCGAATGTGATATTCATTTGGGTTCATAGACCTTTCCAAGCGGATTTCGAAAAATCTCCAAAACCTTTTCTAGATAATTTATGATTGTAACCCGCAAAATTCTAAACAAAATGAGCCATCGCCCAGCTCTACAGGACCTTTCTTTGCAAAGCTATAGAATTTACAAGAAAAGGACTAAATTCATTTTTCCATTTTCTTTCTGTAGCTCTGAAGTGACAATGAACATTCAGGGCTTTTCCTGTAAACCCTATAACTTTGCAAAGAAAGGTCGTGTAGAGTTGGGAGATATCTCATTTTGATCAGAATTTCGCGGACTACAATCGGGAATTATCTCGAAAAAGTTTTGAGTATTTTTTGAGATTTCCAGATCCAGGCCTGGAAAGGCCTATGAATATCGTATTTGAAATCAGCATGGTCGATTACCTACAATCCACTATATTTTGTTACAAAAATGAGAGTACATTTGGGGAGGTTCTCTTGTCAGTAAAAGTCCCATAACGCTAGACTCCTGCGGGGCAACCCCGAATCCTATCCCGTCTGTCCCGTCCCGTGGGACACACAGGGTCGGGACAAAAAACAAATTACTGGCTTGGGGCAAGAAAAAAATTTCACGGGCTTGGGCTTACGGGGTCGGGACAAGTTGCAGAAAAATATTGTCCCGTAAGTTTTGTCTTGTGATTATAATTATACTGCAACTTCAAATATTTAATTCTTGTAATATTGGGTGATCCAGAATAAATGGCACTCCTCATACTTTTCTTATAATGTTTTTTCTTTTCAATCAATAGACCTGGTCGTTTTCAAAAGATGTGTCGTCAAATTCTCCACAAAACTTGATCAAACGTATCACAGCAGAAAAAAATTTTTCAAAAAATTACGGGACAAGCGGGACGGGGCAAGAAAGCTCATAAATTTTCCACGGGACAGACAGATTTGGGACAACATTATTTGCTCACGGGCTCGGGCTTACGGGACGGGACAAAAATTGTTATGTTCGGATTCGGGCTTATGGGCTCGGAGCAACAGAAAAGTTTGTCCCGCAGGACGCTATATAACTCCATCAGAATAAAAGCTTTTCGCTCGGGTTTATTTTGTTTCGATCAGAAATGATTGCTCTTGTCTATCTAACTGCAAAACCAAACTTCAATCATGTTTTCTGTGTCTTGCTTGAACACATTGTTGGAAACGGGGAAGTTGTCAACTTTTGACGTATTTTTGTAACTTCGTTCTCGAGCACACCATCTGCTCTAAAATCTTTTTACAGATGATGAGAAAGAGCACATTTGAAAGTACCAAACATAAACTGAGTTCTCCCTCTTGCTACACTTTTTAGGGAAAATAGTAACAGAAGATTTTAATGGAAATAGTAGCAGAAGAAAAAGTTCAAGTCGAAAAATATGTTGAGTTTAGAAAGTTTTCATTTTTTTCGACTTTCCTCTAATTGGCTTAGTTTTCTTGTATTGATTGAAGTTCTGAAATTACTTATATATAATTTAAGTTTGATTTTGTAGAGTATTGCGCAGTGCATCTTTTAAAAAAAATCGAGTCTTGGAAACAAATACTAACCAAATTATAAGCAGAGACCCCGCCTTTATTCTGGTCCACGCAGTATTTTTTTATATCGAGGAGTATATCTTATACCGATTATGAACGACATCTATTTTAATGTATTTTAAAGATTTTTTTCCTAAAAATGAACACGATCAAACTAATTTAATTGAATAATAAAAAAATTCTCTTTGTAACGTAAATATCTTTTAAACTCTTGAGAAATATACATTTTTATTCTGTTTGAAATGGCGATTTTGTCATTTCCACAATAATATCATTGTAGCTTATCTTTCCTAAACAAAACTGATAGATGGTGAGAGAAATCTTTAGGTGAGAGGTATGCCCCTTTGTATGTTGTTTACCGTCTTGTGCTGGACACAATTTCTGATAGAAATAATGCTGTTGTGATTGAAGTTTTTAACTTTGTTGCGATAGCTGCTTTTCATGATTTGTTAGGTTGACACATTGCGTATCTTGAAGATATCAATCGGCTGTTTTAGATAAATTATAAAACCGTAAAATGAGCTGGTATCGTAAAGACAATCCTGATGTTATTCCAGGTAATCCGGAACGTATTGGCAAATGGGATCCATTACAGTATCTTGATTTAACAAAATATTTAAAACCATTTAATGAATATCCCAAAGATTTTAATCCAAGAGTTCATGGTGCTTATTTACCATACATGTACTACGGAAAACGTCAGTTTGTAACATTTTTGCTGTTTGATTCATCTGCTTCATTTTGTTTTTTACTTGTTATAGTGGATACATCATTTAGTCAATTAAAATTAAAGGAAATTCCAGAATGGTTTGCTCGACGAAATAAAACGCCATCGGGTGCATATCAGTTGGGTATAAGAGGTAAACAATTATATATAGGAACTAATATAAGATAGAGCGAATAATGTTTGTTTTGTTTTTAGCATTTTGGCGTTGGCATCGTGCTTATGGTGATTGTAAAAAGCCAAATCTCATTTGGGTCATCCAACCATTTATTCTATTTTCACTAATTAATTTCTTCACAATTGCTATACCAGAGAGAAGTAAGTAGAAAATTGTATTGTGTCTTCTCATTAATTAATTAACATTTTTTTTATAATATGTTTAATGTTTAGAACATCATAAATGGGCAAAATATCATTAAGCAAAATATCATTAAAATTTAGAATGGTTTGAGTCATATGCAGTGACCGGTTTTTTTCTACAGACTATTATTAGATTCTTCGAAAAGATTTAGAAACTATTTCATTTTCCTATTTTTTCCTATTTCTCTTATCCTAAAAATTGATATTATTTTTTTTTCTTTCTCTTTTTTATAGTAAAGTTTAGTATAAATAAATAGAGGAAGATTGTATAAACTATCTCTGCACACAATTGACAAGAGTTTCACAAAGAAAAACAGATGAATATATTTTCATTTCAGTTATTGTTCTGGCATCGCCAATGCTATTATATTCTATTTATTATTTGAGCATCATACAAAATATAAATAATTAATTATAATATTAAAAGGTACGTAGTAAGATGTTTTAAAGTATCATTAATAGGGCTAAAGCTATTTCTGAGAATTGCACGATATTGATGAAAACTCTGTTGTAGCAGCAAACTATCGTAAATGAAGAAAATGATCGTTAAAATTATGAGTAACAGACACGAACAACGATGGAACTTTGGATTTTTATTTTAGAAAATGATTACCAGTTGAAGAAAAATCTTTAAAGAATTCAATAAGAAATCGGTTCAAACTCCGATTGTTCTATTATGCGATTGCCAATGATTTCCAACCAATTAGACACATGTGTAGATTGAAATTGATTCATTAATCCTTTTTTCTCTTGAAATTTATTCTCATTTAGTCTAATCGCTCATATGTTGATTCAACCTAGTGCAAAATATCTTGATAATGACAAAGAAGTCATTAGACAATAAGTGCTAAAACTCCTGATCAATTTATTCATGAACTACTGTAATCAATGAAGGCAACAGTTATGGCGCTAATTGTAGTTAAAATGCACATTCTATCCTGGTCTTTAAGAATATTACTATGGTATTTACGCTATACTGTCTAATATTGAGTAAGTCTGGTTGTTGATCTTGATCGATCAGTTTGATCGAATGATCAGAACTTGATATTACAAGAAAAAAACAAAATTAATAAGTCCGACTGCTTATTGTTTTCTCAAATCTATAGAATATCGTTGTATTAATTGAATTTATATAAATTATTTACTGCTATATTTAATAATCTTAATGATCTGAATTTATAGTTAAATATTCAACTATAAATCGCAAAATAAACAACTTGAGGCAATTTGTTACAAGAAAGAATACTCTTTCATCCACAGATATATTTTACAGATTTAGAAATAATTATTTAAACTTGAACTGGAAGAAGGCTTTGTAAAACAAAGATTTATCGAAAATATGAAGAAGTCAACAGTTCAAACGAATTTGGGACGTAGCAATGAAAAACTCATTTTTTGAACCGATGAATAATTATTAAAAACTTTGATAATTGTATTGTTTGATTATTCTTCCCATATCTTATACGAGACTTTTATCCATCATTGTAGGCATTTTGGCGAATAAAAATGCGATATTTGCATGACGATCAATAGACGGAAACGAGATGATAAAGAATATGAGAGAGAAGAAACAATGAATGAAAGGATTTGGAATTAAGAATATTTTTACACATCTCTGTGAAAAAACATGATTGATATATCTTATACTTATTTTGTCGTGAGACAAATGGCTGTCAGACTAAACTATAGATCGTGATATTTTAATGGAATATTTGCGAGCTGTCGTAGTAGGCAGTAACTTGTATACCTTCTATTGGCATCCATGAGTTTGTTCAAGAATCTAAAATTGTCTGCCAGTTAAGTTAGCTCTCTTTTTAAAATGGAACGATCAGAAGTCTTTATCAAAAATGTTGACAAGATTCGTGTGTTCATGTAGCGGAATATAAGCAAGCACTCAGAAAATTATGAGACAGATTTTTTTCTCTTATTATTTTACTCAGGCGGACGAATAACTTAAATGTTATATAAAAAAGAGGATAGTATAAATCATTGTTTGGTCTAGAATAATCGCCAAATGTGTCTTGGTTGACATGTTCATGTGATGTCGCCGAATGATGATCATTGTTTTCTTTGAAATTATTTTACTGTATGCTTATTCGATTTGTCCATAAATTAGAGTGAGCAATACAAAAATTGCACGTGGGAAAAATATAAATAAGTGAAATTTTCATTATTGACTTAGAAAAGTCTCTCTAACCACGTGTAGTTTGATATTCTAATTGTGTTTCTTACTTTTCAAGAGAGAAAAGCGAGTATTGCATTAAGATTATTGGAAAGCAATTGTATTTCATTCTATATGAATATTTTGAAAGAAGTTGAAAAAAGTTTGTTATATGATGTTGAAACAACATATACAGAAAAAAAATGTATTAGTGATCAAACAATGTTAGGTGACTATAGTCAGTTCTTTTCAAGAAATTCATTCTCAATATATTCTGTTTGTATTTCTAGCTCTTTTCTCATTTTATGGGAATCAATTTAAACATGCATTAGATTTAATTGATACGCATTGTATTCATTTATACCAGTCAAAGACAAACAATCGATTATACCAAATACATGATCAAAATAAAACGCTCATATGTAGTTTAACATCAAGCAATTTTTGTACATGTTCATTATATCGACATAATGTTTTAGAAAAACACGAATATTTTGCTTGTAAACATAATATTGCTGTAAAACTGATTGAAAAAATTAATAATGCTAATATTGAGATATTTGAAGTAAGTGATGAAGATATTAACAAGAAATTAATTGAACTTATAGAATTAAATCAACATTAATAGCAAAATTTTCTATGTTGATATTATTGTCATGCATTCATTTGAGATACTCATGTTTATGTGTTAAGCTTTTTTCGAATATTCGTTGCGCTTTGATGTGTTTGTTTGTGTGTACTGTGAATTTTTTATCAACTTATTGTCTTGGAAATGAAAAAAAAGTAGCTACAAGATAACATGAACAACTAGTTTACAAAAACATAACATTACCTCACATAGACTGAAAATAGCAATATGTTCAGACGTCAAAACTGTTTTTACTATCGATCTTAGACATTTGATAGTATTCTGGCAAAAAAGTCGATTGCTTTAGTATTTGAAATTCATGTTGAAATGTCGATTTTGACAGCATAATTGATTGAAAATTCATCTACATTATTATCATAAAAGTAACCCAAGAAGATTGACAGAATTCAGTTTGTGCATTGATGATAAGGTATATAATAATAATCGAAGACTCTTTAGTCAAATTGTATTGTTGTGTACCATATCTGCTAGTTTACTCATATTTAATATTCTTCTCGTGTATCGACCATGCAAACTATGACCAAGATATCATCACGACCATTAACCATATAACCTATAAATAACAAAAAATAGTATGCATTGAAAAAAGATGTATTAAAAGAAACACATACCGTCGACTCCTTCTTTTAAAAGATCATCGGCCAAACCTTGTAAATGCTAAAAGAAAATAGATAGTATTATGTAAGAAGATATCTTTTTTTTTGTATTCGTAAATTTACTTTATGTGAATTACGCTGAACAATTCGCTGGAGTGCATCGTTGGCTAATACATCCCATAAGCCATCTGATGATAATATTATAATATCACCTTTACGTACATTGATAACATCGAGAGCACAATCTCTTAAAACTTCACTATATATGCAATAAAAAAAGTATATAGTTATCATAAAAATTTACAACTAAAATTATATACTTTTCATTAATAAAACATGGTAAACCTAAACAATCGTTCACAGCAAAAAGTTGGCGTGGTCCATTGCCTGTTGGCGTCATTGTACTTTTAGATTTTCTATAAATAAAACCGTTTCTTATGATAACGTAACCAGAATCACCAATGTTTAACGACGTTAGTTGATGTTGGCGTTTATCAAGTGCTAACATGCATAGGGTACTGCTACCTAAAAGAAGCAATAAAAATTAAAAAACTAATAACGAAAAAAATTGTCTTTTCTGAAATACTTACCGCGTACTTTGCTCGTTTCAACTTCACGCATTGCCGACATGATTAATTTTGGCAATTGACTTGGATATACAGGATTTTGTTTAAGAATATTTCGGCAAGATGATAATAATGCTCGAGAAAAATCGGCTGGATTTATTCCTAGGGATCGATTGCCGCCAGCACCATCAGCCAAACCTAAAGTAAATCGAATTTGCAGACGATGTTCTATCTGTCAGAAATCCTCTTCTTACCTACGAAACAAAAATCTCGATTTTCTAATATCATTCCGGCATCATCTCCAAAATCTCCATTTGTCAAATTCATATTTCCCATGGGTAATTGTCCACGCATACTTTTCGAGGCGCCATTAACAGCAATTCGTAAACACGACACTTTATCATTAGAGGAATTAATTGAATATAGTGGTGCAGATTCGGTAGTGTCTTTGTGTTTGTTGCTGGGTCTTGGTCGATTTGCACTACCAACCGTATTTGGTAGAATTATTCGTTCATGAATAATTTTACCATTTGGTATCTGATAAACGGCTGTTTTTGAATCAGTATTTTCACTTGTTTTTGGAGAATTTGACCCTTTTTGATGATATTTTTTGAATTCATCTGTAACAGGATACGGACAAGTAAACGTTGATTGTTTGAGTGAATCATGCCAATTGTAAGGTTTTGAATGTCCATCATAACTCGTATATCGAATATCTTTTGTATCTTCAACAAAATCTGATATGAAATGACGAGCATTGACAATATCAAATGGTTTTCCATTGTATTTTGATGACTGATGAGTGAGTTTTCTTCGTAACAAATCGTGAACATTGTTCTTCAATGTCGAATCAACATTGTTCTCATGATAATCAATTGGATTATTAGTATGTGTCATATTTAACTGATATGAAATATCGTTGAACTCATTTTGGGTCTCAGGTTTTCGCACAGAATTCTGGCATAACATATGACGATAGTATCTGTCATCAAAATCAGTAATACCATTTTCTTTCGATAAAGAGCGTTTACCTTGTCTGCCATTAGCATTTCGAAGGAATTTTCGTGTCAATCTGAAAATACGTTACAAGTCATTTTTATTCTCATTTTTAACATTCTGTTCATTTATCAAACCATAAACTGAATATTTTTACTCACGAATGTTCACTGCTGTTTGTCGAATCAAATTGTGGTTTTTCTCTGGAATCTTTTTTCTTATCGAATCCATTTTGATCTTTTTTTTTCGTTGTTTTTAGACCGTTTTCTACTCCAAATTTCAAATTTGCATGTTTAACAAGAAATTGTTCAACATCTTTTACGGTCTTTTCCGTTTTAACATCGTTATCCGTCATTTTGATTGGTTTTCCTTTTCCATAATCAACATATAAATCGTATGAATCAGAAAATTTCATATCTGTTTTTGACATGTTATCACTTTTTTTATGTGACAAAATTTTCTCAAACATTTTTATTTGAATTGAGTATATGTATTCAAAAATATACATATGTTTTTAACCAATTAATCATTGTTTCGTTACTCATTTACCATATAAATTATGCGAAAGATATTTTTGTGTAATAAATTGCGTATGCGTGTGTTTTTTACCATATGTGAACATTGATCATTCAATGTATGATATAAAAATTGTTCTACACAATCGTAGATATAATTGAGTTCAATACGATTGTTTCGTAAAACAGTGCATGCTTGAATGATCAATGTCGAACTCTTTCATTTATCTTCTCTGTTTCCAAAAAATAAAGAGAGAGAGATTAAACACATTCAAAAAATGTGAGGATCGCGGTTGAGGATCGCGGTACAGCGATGCCAAGTATTAGTTATTATGTAATATGAGCTAGTTTGGTAGGAATTTTTACCATTGATTATACTAAGACTTATATTCAACCAGAATTACGAGAACTTTATCAGTAGACAGTATTGGAAAAGAATATCACTAAAACCTCTAACTGTACGATAAAATAAATAATTTTTAATTTTTTCAAATTGTATCTGCACAGAACACACTGGGAAGAGGATTTCTACGACAGGTGTGTCTAATAAAGATTAATCTTCAACACTAATTGCTAGTTCTTTTTATCTTCGGTTCTCTGACGAAGACGTTTAATTCATTTGTATATACACCAGTTTATTCTGGATTGTGTGCTTCTCGCCAATATTTCTTCTCATTTTTAACATATGAACATGGAGTAGAAAATTCTTTTTATTGTAAAAGAACCATTTACAAACGACACAAAATATTTGTAGACAGAAAAATTAAACGTCTGACCTGTGTAATGAAGCGTTATTTTTCTCTTGTATCCATCTGATAATATAAAAATTCTTCTTTTCTATAAAAAAAACTCTAATTAACAGTCATACATATCAATAAAAGAGTCTACCATTACCGGTATAGGATACTGCCGAATGGCAGTTTTATTAGTCTGATATCATCCCTGCAGTTGACAAGCTTATGATATGGTCATCTATCTCGTTACTAGTCATCAACCACAGCTATGGACAGAAGGCTAGCGTAAGCAGGGTTCTTTTGCCGAATTATTTGAGCTCCCCATGTACACTCACTAACCACGTGCTATCTTTCCGGAAAGCCACGAATACTAACCGGAGAAGTTTATTGTATGTCAGGACGCAGTGAGTATGCTGTCAGACGGGTGATCCGAGGCAGCTCGACATAAGTAACTTGTCCAAGGTTATTACATGATTTTTCCGGCGACGAGGTTCGAACACAGTACTTTTGCAGTACGTGACGAACAACACAGCCATCAAGCCATGCTGTTAAACCAGAATAAAATTCGTTGCTCACATCCATAAACTAATAATGTAACTTGTTTTGCTAGCTTTATCTGAGCAGCTTATTCATAAGGTTTATTCTAAAAACAACATTAAGAAAATCATAATAACTACAGAGCGAAAAGCAAATATTGTTGGACTTATATTGTGTGATTGCATTAATTGTTGAATTTTAAGTGATGGTAAAAATGTAAATAGTTTCAAATATTTTTCTACTTTAGAACTGGGAGTGTTACGAAAAAACTGGAAGAAATATGAAATTTCTTGCTATTTTCAAAAAATGAGACAAACACACACTCTCACCTAATACAATTCGAATGCTGTACAAAAATTTTCATCAATCTAAATTACATTTCTAGTACTCTTGCCGAATTTTCCTCCGTTTCCATTTGAAATTAGAATTAACATAATGCCTAGTATAAATGAGAAAGCATATAATGTACAGAAATATCACTGTGACATATCACCGACAAAAAATTAAAGTTCATTTAGAGTTAAAGAAAAGTGCTTTTTCGTATCATCGGCGTTTTGAAAACGAAACGATCTCGACACTTTATTCAAACATTATTATTATCTAGAAGATTAAACAAAGTTTTCTGCAAAGTTAGAGCTCATTCCTTCTGGCACTAAGAAAGTCGACTTTTAATTTCCACTTCATATGCACAAAAACGATTTGGTCGGAAGAGAAAGAGAGCTTGATTCATTCTTTTGATAAAATATCAGATAATATATGATTTATTTTATTTTTTGAAAATTTCTACCTAATTTTCCACGTGGTAGGACTTTTTCAACAGCTGTTCTCTCCGCGTTCAAAATGAAGAAAATTTCCAATGAGGTGAAAGAGAGAACTGTACACCTACATAATAACTTGTTTTCTAGTTTCACTTCAATAGAGAGAGGTTAAAAATTAATGAGAGTGTATGTACATATATAGTAGAATTCATACGCCTCACTCTTTGTTTACTCATGCACTTTTTAGTAAAAAAGTGACGTTCAACTTCTGAAACAACTAATTTTTCTTGTTGTGACAAGAGTCAAACATATTTCTGCTGGAACTGAAATTAAAACTGGTGCAGAAACCGAGAAAAATGACTTTTACTCTCCCAGAAAAATTATCGGATTCCGCACCACTCTCAATGCAACGTCATGAGTACCGCGATAAATCTTACATGTTTTTCCTTTTTTCAGCAAAGCCCTTAGTATTTTTATTAAAGAGTGAGACATGAACTAAATTCTCTAAAACTTTGAAGAATATTCCATGTAAGGTTCACGAGATATTCAACTTTTAAAAATGAAGTATGTTTGAGTTTTCTCTCCGTATTTTAAACTTGGGCTTTCATAAAAACAACCTCATATAGGTTTTCTGGTATCTCAATTCGATTATGACCATAAAAAGCTGCTTTTCCAAAGTTTTATATGGGAGCTGAGGCCATCGTTATTATAGTGTCATCATCATTAGTAGCTAACTGCCCATTCTTTCTTTCTGACATATAGCAGTTTCGTACAGTGGTCATTGAGAAGTGAAAAAGTTCAATATTTCATGAACCTTACATGGAACATTCTTCAATGTTTTAGAGAATTTAGTTCATGTCTCACTCTTTAATAAAAATACTAAGGGCTTTGCTGAAAAAAGGAAAAACATGTAAGATTTATCGCGGTATTCATGACGTTGCATTGAGAGTGGTGCGGAATCCGATAATTTTTCTGGGAGAGTAAAAGTCATTTTTCTCGATTTCTGCATCAGTTATGATGTCAGAAAAGCCAGTTTCTTACGAAACTTGATGAGCTCTATAAAAATAGATTTATTTTAAATGAAGTGGGAAAACTTTTCTAAAATGTGGGACATCTCAGTTGAAATTGTCCGAGAATAAGAAAATATTTTCGCATATACATACACTAGAAAATTTACCCAGCGTTGCCCGGATTGATGTTGATGATTTCACTTATGATTTGAATGAAACGATTGAATATGTAGTAAGAAGTTTGATAATTTATTTGTGATCACCGTCTTCCTTTTAAATATTTTCAGAAAGAATTTCAACGATATAGAGAGAGAGATTTTTGGGTCGCACATAGCCTACGGTCTTCCTCTTGATGAATGTGGACTCCATGCAAAATTTGGTTGCTCTGGGATCAATCATGTGGATTTGTATAGCATAACAATCAAGCAAACAAACGCTTTTTGTGCAAAACAAACAACACATTCCATTTTTAACGATCAAAAAACCCATTAAATGTTTCATTTGAAACGAAGAAAAACGCGTTAAAACAATCTTTTGAACACCTTAGAACGCGTTACTTTTGCGTTAAAAACGGAATAAAAACGCGTTTTCAAACATTCTAGAACGCCTTTCAGATGAAACATTTAACGCGTTTTTTGATCGTTAAAAACAGAATAAAAACGCGTTTCAAGATCGAGTCTGTAACTCCTCAATCGTTCCAGAAACCAAAGGTGAGACTTGGCTATCCAGTGGGGACTTGATCTAAAAATAGTTGAGAGTCTATAATAAAGAAGTACAAAACTGATGATCTAAAACTGAAAAAGAACGAAAAGATGATATTTCTTCGATATTTCGATTATGCTTATATACTTGGCCGGCCGCAGAACAAGACGGTGAATGATTAGTTGCGTTTTTCAGCCGTTAAAAATGCAATAAAAACACGTGAGAACGGAAAATGAAACAAACGTTATGAAACGCGTTTACACGCGTTGTGTCCCACAGAAAACGAAATCAGTTCACAAAACTGCGTCGAATGATATGCCAGTTGTATGTTTTTATGCGCAAAAAATCGTTCTGTTTTATGAAATGACAGATTTGCAGAATTCCCGTAGGCTTTTTTGCTAGGCACATGAGCATGTGCTATAAAAGTGATACGAAAGCCTCTAAACACTATGTTTATAGGTTTTCGTATGTGCTCTCTTCAATGATGTGGCTTACAAGTTCAAAAATGTTTTTATCCTAAAGATCCGGTCTCTGGAAAACACGACTAAAAGTGTTTTTGAGCTTTGTAAATCACACTATCGGAAAGAGCACAAAAATTAAACCTATAAACATAGTGTTTAGAGGCTTTCGCATCACTTTTATGTCCACGTGCCTAGTCAAAATTGCCCACTGTGCTTCAATGGACAAGTGTAAAATTTAAGTGAACAACATCTAACATCTAAGTGAAGAAAATGAAAATTTGAAACAAAAAGTTGGAAACTTAAAATTAAAAGAAGAATACCAAAGTTAATGGTATAAAATCAACAGAATTATTCCATGATGTGGTGATCTTGTTTTTGACTGAACCTCAGTATGACATGAGAAATCCAACATGATTTATTCTTCTCTATTTTCTAGTATATACTAGGACTACTTTTTCTCCATCTATACTCATGTCAAAAATGAATAAAACATTTGTCATCTCTGTCAGTTTCTATATTTTTCAAACAAACAACTGAATTTTTTAGTAGTTTTGTTTATCTACTGTTTAAACGATATAACATTCAAGAAAAATATAAGTTTTAATAATTAGAGAAAATTTGATATAAGATCCTTCCAAAAAGTTAACGCTGAAAGCTGGAATATTCATTGTTATTGTATATTGTAACAGAAAATGATTAAAGCAGATTTGCGGAGAAGAATAAAGCCTATAACTTAAGATCGAATCGTAAGAATATTGTGGATGTGATTTAATTATTTTGCCACTTTTGTTTTTGAAGAGTCAAATGATATAAGTGGTGAATATATTGAATCAGAGATCCACATGAGCCCAAAAATTCTGGCCCAGTCCAGAAGAAAATTTTCGTACCAAGTCCAGCTCGGCCTGACCAAACTTGAAACTTATCTGACACAGCCCGACCACCCCTGAAAAGTTTCTAGCCCGGCCCGGTCCGACGAAGAAAGTTTCCAGACCAGGTCCAGCTCGGTCCGATCAAACCTGAAATTTATAATGCTAAGTGATGTACATGTATTTCTTAAGCTAATATTTATATTTTTAAGTCTTCTTGCTTTTTATTTTTTCAACTTAAGGTAAACGTAATATTCAGACACATATATGAAAAACAAGCACAAAAATAGTACAGTATTGGTTTTTTTAGTAAGGTCTAGAAGTTGTTCTGTCAATCCGATTTTGAAAAAACCGTCGCCTATCTTGTAGAGAATTTTTTTCTCTACCAGAAGATATAGCAGACTTAATTTTAGAGTTCTGTTTTCCAGGAGAGAAAAAATATAGTTTAAAATGAATTAACTTGATCATTTTCTTTGTTTATTTCAGATGAGAATGATTCCATTAGATGCAGCTTTTCACGCTGTATCTACTAGTATAATTTGATGTCTATTTCGACCAAGATTTGACTCCGAAACGTCTGTTTTCTGAAGATTTAACCTTACTTCAGACAAACCTAGTTTTAGCGGTCAAAATTTTGAATTTTTTGAAAATCCTTTTTTCCATCGAATAGTTGACGATTTTTCCTTCCAGATAAACTGCTTTTTGTCTGACAGTTCTTAAAATGAAGGAACTGTAAGACAAATAATAAGTTTGTGTCATCATTTTTGTTGCACAAAAAACCGGCCGCATTTAGAAAATCCTTTCAAAACCCAGTAAGAACTAGAGAGAAGAGCCTCACTTTTTCAATGTAACTAACTAAGACAGTGACCTATTTATGGGCGAAAATTCGCCTCTTCTACTACTTTCCCATGCTGAGAAAAATGGATGATAAACTGCTTCTTTCCTGTCGTACCATCATTTTTGTTACCGACTGTATGTTACCCAAGAAAGATTCTTGATCCGGCCCGATCCGATCACTCTATAAAATCTTCTAGCCGGGCCAGTGCTGATCTCCTATCTGTAATCGAGCGATACACGACTAGTTGTCATCTAGATTACTGGTTGGAAAAGGGACCTTTAACTAGATGCGTCTACATGTGCAACTGGCAATAGTTAAATCGATTGATTATCGGGCAATAAATCCATAGTTGCAACTGAGGAGAAATCTAGCAATCGCCCAATTCCTAGATTTTCACTGTCGTTACAAAATAATTGCAATCATGTAAAAGCTTAGTAATCTAGATGAATCGGGCGAGTTTATATACCATCAAAAATCGCAGACAAAAATGCTAGTATTAAACCCGGGGACCACCTACTATAAGCACGTCGATTTGATGTCTTTCGGACGTTCTTCTAAAAACCGATTCATACATTTTTAAAATATATCTAAGTTGGCAGTTTTTAATTAAATACTTCGTTGCGTTTAATTTTATGTGTCAGTTAAGACGACATTACTGGAGGAATGACGACTCATTATAATGAATTGGCTTCTTCTTCCGCTCTATGAACTAGCCCAAGAAAACGAATAATAGTAGGATGTGGACGGGCGCACGCTTTTCGAGTAATTGAAAAATTAATGTAGCTTTTTCCATCTTACTTCGGATGATCTTTCTCTATGAATTTCATACTATCATTGAGAGAAAATTTTGTTATTTTGTTTTACATCACCTTCTATTTGAGACCATAAACCCTCTTCTTGTCAGAACGTTACTTCAAAGACGACTAAGTATCCAACAGTGGTAACTGTAGAGCTAAAGCACTTTTACTCCTTCTTGAGGATCACGCTAAAATAACCACCCTAAATCCATTAGCAGATGTACAATTGTCATTATAGATGTGCGATAAGTTTATTCTATAGTACAAACAACAATGGATTGCGACCTGTGAGAAGAACCACCAAGAAAGTAGTAATTAAACTCGTTTTTGTACATGCAATCAGCTTCGAACACTAATATTAGCCCGAAAAAGTAGTTCAGCTTCTAGATCATAATTTATACTTTAAAATCAGGGAGAAGAAGCAATTTAGTGCATTATATAGTACACCATACAATAGTATAGCTGACTTTTTCACTCTCGCCTATTTCTGAGGAGAGAGTATTAACAATCGTTAAAAAGATTATTTAAGTTGTTATTTAAAATTCTGAGCGTTTTAGGATCAGATTACTGAAGCTTAGAAAAGAGCTTTTCCCGGTTTATGATTTTCAATTGAAGCTATTGTACCAGTCAAGTCCTCTTCAACGACTGTATAATCCCGGCAGTCTTTGCATAAAATAAAACTATGCATTTGTATGAAGCAGACCATTACAGTCAAGGGACCAAGTCAAAGTAAATCAAAGATGTGTGAATCTTATACTTATGTATTCAAATAGCTCATCCACAGAATACCTAGTTTGGAAACTATTAACGAATAGAAACTGATCCTTACAACTCTTCGACATGAAGTTCTTAAGCACTCATTTATGAAAACTTATTGACCAATTACAATTACTTTGATCAGATGAGGAACAAACAGGTTGAAAGACTGCTGATGTGGTTATTTGAATGATACTGTAGAATTTGTTATGGTGCTCATAGACTATAAGCTGCGACCAATAAATTTCCTCAGTTTAGATGCTTTTCATCAAGATTTTTTTCAGCAAAGCATTTTTGCACTTTTTATTTTATGTATTTCTTTTATTCACATTTAGAACTAAATTAGTTATTATATTGCTTTTGGCTAAATGCCTCGCATAATGCCGGCTGATTTAGGACTTATTCAAACACAGCACGATTCATTTCAACGACACGAAGAATTGATTAAACTTATTCATGACACAGATGTATGTGAATCAGAGTATTCTTAATTTTCGCCAAAACTCTGTAAACTTTGTTTTAGTATACTTTTCGTTCTTTCTTCATAAATTACTTTGCGGTGGAGAAACGTAGTACAAAATGTGCCAGCTTTTTTCCTTCTGTAGGTTTTTTATGTACCGGTACGTGGAGAATTTGGGGATGGGCAAGTCAATGATATAAAGGAAATAACACGGCGATTTGATGAAGATCTTCTCAATAAACAAATGATTGTTGTACGTATTTGTTTATGTGTAGTAATTACAATTGACATGAGTAGATTTTAATTTTCTCTTTTTTAAGACGTTTCGAGACATTGGTTTTTCACTTCAATTAGGATCTGTCGAAGGGCATATTGATCAAAATGACCATACAAAAGTTCGTCGTAATACTAATGAATGTTAGAATTCTTGATTAATATTGATTCCTTCTTTATTTCCTGTTTAGATTCGTGTATCTGGTAAAAATATTGTGGATGGAATTTGTATACAATTTATTGGTTGCTTCGATAATCGAATAACAACGACCATGAATCACACCGGTTATGAAAAAGAACCAAATCTAATGAATTTACAACAAATATGTGGAGTTGGTCGTGTGGAATTAGATGAACAAATGTATCTAAAACTTTCTTCTACACAGGTATTCAGTTGTTGTTGTCAACTATATAGTTTTTATATAGTTCTTTCATTTTATATCACGTTTTTGTTAGCGTTGAACATCTCTCTGTGCGTAATAGTAGCAGCGATTGTGTTTCTCATTTTCAATCGATTTGAGAAACTTCAACTTTGTTGGCCACCAGAGAAAAATATTTTCGCCTTGTATGTACAGATGTACGGGATCGGAACTGAACCTAGAAAATAATTTTTTTGTGGGATAAACACTCAGATAGGGGACAAACCTTTTCTCAGTTTGTTTTCCTAAAAACAAAAGAAAGACAGTTTTTCCTACCTTTTCCGTTTTTAAGAAATACTTCTTGAATCAGTGATTGCGAGACGAGTAGAAGTGTGTGTCTCTTGTTTCAAGATGAAAGTGAAGCGATACAAGTCAGAAGCAACCTCTTCTTGTCTTAACTTCTCAAGGGAGTAGAAATGTTCACCAGTGTTTGTCACACACATTACAGATGTTAGCTCATCTAAAAGATTTCCGCAGGAATATGTACGTTTCTATTAGGTGTACTTTCTGCTATACTAAAAAACACTGGGCATTTTATCATTTTTTTCCATGTTCATAGCCCCCGTTTTCTCTTCGCTGTTAAAAATTAGTATTGCTTTATACTGAGTAGCATATAAAGCAATCGAGCCCATTTATGCTACTTATGGATGCTTATTATTACTCAAAAATAAATGAAATGAAACTTCTTATTGTAGAACTTACCAACAACAACGAATACAGTCGATTCAAAATATTTGCATGGTGAAGAAAAATTGATCGGGTATGTAGAAAGTTCTGAATTATATTTTTGATGACTCTCTCCATAATTTATAAGATATCCAATTTTTAAATTTTATTTACTTTATATTTTTTTGGATCATCATATGTCAAAGCTAATTTACTAGTTTGTTTTTGTTCAATTTTAGAATGCTTGAAAATGATGTCGAAACGATGCATTCAAAAGATTCTAGCGAAGAGCAATCATCTCATTTTAAACAAAACATACTGGATACTATTTCAAATAAAAATAAAGGTCGATCAATGACATCAGCAATAACCTCACCGACAAAAAAAAGTCGTCCACGTACAGTAAGTGAAAATGTGTTGACAACTGGTACATCGCCAACAAACATCCTTTTGGATCATCCACGTTTACATTCGCCAAATACTACGGTGCATATTTCATATCCGTCACCTTCCGCAACTTCTGTTTGCTCTCCACGTGTTATTACAAGTTTAAAAAATCAACCACATCGTGCACCATCACCAGTTGTTTTTGGACATTCTCCTTCAACTTCATCGCCATTGTACATTAATGTACTAAATTCTTCACAACAGTCAACATTAATCTCACCGTCATCTCAAACTTACACGACCATTTCATCCTCATCGCCTTCGTCCTCATTCAATGATTATAGTATTACATCAACATCTCCCCCATCAAATCGACATGTCGGTGATTCAGCTTCTATTTCTTCTTCAATGAGTCCATCTTTATCCACCTCATCCTTGTCGCCAATTGAGTCTCATCGTCGAGTTCAGTCACCTCTTTCTTCTACTCGTTTACATACTCAATCGATAATAAATCACACAACAACAGCGCCAATTCAGATTACTGCCTCTTCTTCCTCGACAACAACAAATTATATTGGCTCGTATACGAATCCATATATAGCATTACCGACCCAATCTCCAGTGGGCTCTCATTCGTTACCAACAATCTATAACTTTGGTGTACTTCCTCATGCAGCCACCAATATTGCTTATATAACGCCAGCAACCTTTGATTTTGCTGTTGCTGCAGCAGCCGCAAATCCTGGTGGAATGTTGTTAATTGCAACTCCAAATGTTCAAGTCACTGGATTAACTCCTACGCCATCATATTCAGAACAGCAATTTCAAACACATTTACTTCTACAACAACAACAACAACAACAGCAGCAATTACAACAATCACAGACAAAAATTCAGTTTGCTCCATTACCAAGTCCATATTCATCATCATTTGTTCCATTATATCCTTACAATAACGTACAAACACCCGAACAGAGATCTCCAGTTATTCCGCGAACATGTAACATTTTAAATCGTGTGAACGATAGTTCTGATTTAATGTCAACGACAAAATTACCGTTGGATGGCGAACAACAGAAAGCAGAAGAGACAATAATAAATACAATGTCAAAAGCTCGAAATAAGTCGTTTTCACCATCTTCTACAACAGATAAACAACATCGTTCTCTTTCGAAGTCTCTTAGTTTTGATGAACCATCATGCGTTACTACATCGCTACCATTTAAGAAACGTCGAGTTTTGAATTGTGTTGATGAGCAAGAGAACGATGAATATGAAGATGCTGAGGGTGATGAAACAGAGAAAAAATAATTAAAGTAAAAAAAAAATGTCATGATTTATTTGCAATGACTCGGAAGATATGTAGATAAAGAAAATTGTACTCTTCCATTTACTCACTCGTCATTTTGCTTACAAAGTATTTTTTTTTAGTAACAATATTTTTCGATAAAAAAAGTGACTGATAAATTTTGTTCTGATCATGACTCGGTGATAGTGTTGCTTATATTTTGTACATGTAAATATTTTCGGTTGTTTATTCTATAAACAAAACATAATGCATGTGTTGTTTTCATCACATTAAAATTTTTATTTATATTTTTTCACAGTGAGTGTAGTTTGGTTACTAGACGCGTCTTGCATGTTCACGTGTAAATATTGAATGTATGTATGTGTGTGTGTGTGTGTGCGTGTGTGTATATATATATGCTTGCAAGCCTTGTATTTATATGTATACAAGCAAATAAATATTCTATTTTTATATCATTTAAGATTTGTTTTATTTTATTTTTTATTTTTGCGTGGATTCTAAGTCATTTTGGGTGATGTTTGGAACAATCAATTTCTGCTTGATTTATGACGAAAATTTCATTGGAAAATATTCTTGTATCAGTGTGCATAGCTGGCTGTTATTATTTTTTAACCGTTTTCTTCAGTATCTTGGATTTTTAAAAAAAATAGACGAGATGTCTGAATAAGTCAGTGTAACAGTGGTTTTCTTGTGTTTTAATAAACTTCCACCTTTATAGATAGTTAAAAATTTTTGAAAATTAGTCCGAACTTCAATATCAAGAGCTATTGATTCTTTCGCTTTACACTCTAGCATAATGGTAGAATTGTCTTCTTTTAAAATTCAACATTCTTTACTTCCTACGAGCCCTGAAATATAATTTCTGCGACGTTTTAGCAGTCGAAAGAGCGATCCTTGTTTTTTTATTGCCATTCTTTGCTTTTTTTCGATTAGTTATGTCATTAAGACATTTAATTGTTATAATTGATTTAAATCCATTGTATTGGTCAGAGACATTAACCGCCAATACATCAGCATCAACCATTGATTTGAAACAGTTTTTAAATATTATTATTCAATTTGTCAATGCTTACATTGCATTTGATATACAAAATCGTCTAACATTAATTGGTGCAGCCAATAACGATACTATATTCTTATATCCTGATCAAACAAATGAAACGTTAATTATTCCAACTGTAACAAAAACAAATATGTATGAACAATTATTTGTTGCTGATCGTGTTATCGAGAGAAATATTGAAAAATTCCTTGAACAATTGCCTTTACAAGGTCAACAAGGTTCAATGATCACCATGGCTATGGTACAAGCTTTATGCTATATTAATCGTCTTATTCGAGAACAAAATGTTGGTGAAAAAAATTCCCATCGGATATTGATTATACAAACATCAAATGATAGTTCTAAACAATATATGAATTTTATGAATGCAGTATTTTCGTCAGAAAAATTAAATGTACCAATAGATGGTTGTATATTAAATAATGATTCCAGTCTGTTACAACAAGCATGTAGGTGTGAAGTTTTATCGATTATGTAGCAAATTGTTCAGATAAGCTTTGGATACTTGTAAGGATATTACAAGTCAGACTCTTTCATCTTGGCGGGTATGAAGAGAGTTACTGAGATTGTCAGTTATGGAAGGCTCTTTTTACAGAACTTCGACGTCTATTTTTAGATATGAAAAGTAAGGGGTGTAACGTAAGGGTGAAAATAGACTTTTTTGAGAAATACTTTACACTGCTCTTGCACATCCAGTAATGTACCAATATAGTAACTTTTTATCGAACAATTGATCATAAATAGAGCGAATTTAGTCTCTTAAACAATATTATCAAAAGGTGTACATTAGAGTTTCCGATTTAGGCATTAAAGCCCACGGTGATGAAGCTTTTCGTTTTCATGTTTAGGTGATTTAACAACTGGCTTGTATTTACGTGTACCAGATTCAAATGGCCTTTTACAATATTTAATATGGTTATACTTAGCGGATAAAGAATTACGTAAAATGTTGACATTACCAACAAAATTAGCCGTCGACTATCGACCAGCATGTTTTTGTCATCAAAAATTGATTGAAACCGGTTTTGTTTGTTCAGTTTGTTTATCGATATTTTGTGAGAATAGCACATTCTGTAGCACGTGTCGGTCAGCGTTTAAATCAAATGTAATGATGGAACAGACAACAAAAAAGAAAAAACTGATCACTAACACTACTACGACATCAGCGTAAAACTCGGTGATTTTCTTATGTACTTATATTTTTATATTAACTGTTCGACAATAAAATTATGAAATTTTCGAACAAACTTTCGTTAGCTTATAAGAATCTATCTCAAAGAAAATGGCAATGGAAAATGAAGAGGCTTTGGTAAGTTGAATATTGTGACGATTAAATTCGTTGATACATAGATGTTAATTGAATAAAACTGCAATATAGTACCTTTAACAATTGCTGGTAGTCGTATCAGATTTTAGCTACAGTAAAACCTCTATTAGTGAACACCTCCTCAGTGAACACGCTCTCAGATCGAATGGAGCGATTTTTGCTGGAAATGCACCTCTCTAATGTGAACACCTCCTTATTCTGAACATGAACACTATTTTTTCAGTTCCTCCTGGTATAATAACCTCGCTAATGTGAACACACTTGCAATGTTTCTCTCTCTACTGTTTATCATTTGTCCCTTTTGTACTGATACTAACTACACTTTATGGATTAAAACTGACTACTGTACATATGAAAAAAAGAATGATATCATGACACGAGCTAACTTTAAAAGATGAATAATATAATTAATTCAGGACTAGTGTAGAAGCAGACATTCTAGAACTTTTTTTTCACTCAGCAAAACATGCATCATCTCTCTAAAGTGAACACCTCTCTATAGTGAACGTTTTTGAAAAATCTCGATGGTATTCACAATGGAGAGGTTTTACTATAAATAGTTTATGTTAAAAAAATAAAAATTGTTTTAGTGTGATTCATTCTCATATTATTTTTGCCATCATCCTATATATTTTGTCTGATGAGTAACGCATTAATGATATAAGGAATTTCTCCTACGATCTTATTCATTTCTATGATAACAGAAGACGTGGATTCAGAAATTTTTTAAGATGAATGTGGAGAAATGAGAAATTTTTGCTGAAAAAAAAACAGTTGGATCCGCTACTGTAATTTGTTGGTATTAGAATCAAACTAGTTGACATGATCAATATCCTAACACGAGGAAAACAAAATAAATAAATTGTCGCAGTAGTTTTTTGTTTTCATTATAAAATTGCTATACATATATGCATATATGTATATATAGACAGTAATATCAATTTGAACACTAATGCTCAAAGTAACAGCTACTAATATTCTCAACGAAGATATAGAAGCTCAAACGATTTTCAGAATATAGATCTTAGAATGCAGGACAAATATACTTTTGAAAGATTTTTTGAAAATAGTTTATTCTCTACGGATAAGAAATTGAGGTTGACTTTTACATAAATTTTGTCTTTCACACAAAACATAACCATATCAGATAATGAGAGATCAAATAGTGTCAGATTGAGGCAATACAATATTTTATATGTGAAGGGAGAAAAATAGATGATTTATCATTTGAGAACAAGTCACTTATAAAGAATCGTGTTATGAAACTCAATATAGAAAAGCGGCTGTGTTATCCTTCATATGTGATCTATGAGTTTGCGCTCTTCCAAGCCGAGTTATATGCTAGTGTTTTTTCTTGTTCTTCGTACTCATATTATTCTTATCCATGTTTTCTATATTTCTGACTAGGCAGAATATCTTTGGTTCTGTTATAATTACACGTAAAATATCATTGTACAAGAAAGTGATTCTTCATCAATGTCATATTTTTCTTTTATTTTTTCTTACATATAGTGGGTGGTAGGAAATAAATAAATACAAATACAGTTTGACTATAACCAGAAGCTTTTTCGAAAACATTCACTCTTTATTACCCCTGTGAATTGTATCGTTTCTACGAAGGATGAGCACACAACCACATTTTTGTGATCGTTGCGCCTCGTGTGGTAAAAGTTTTACACGTACCGAACAACGTACCATTTTTAATAATAAAACATATCATCAAACTTGTTTGTTATGTTCGAAATGTAAAACGCCATTGAGTGGTTCATTTTATCCAACATTAGAAGGATTTACGTGTGAAAATTGTCATAAACGGGTCTCTACAAGATGTAAACGGTGCGGCAATACGATTGATGCAGGTATTCGTTACAAATCATATAAAGGTCAAGAATATCATCCAGAATGTTTTCTTTGCTGGTCGTGCAATACACAGATAAACGAAGGTGAGAAATTTTTTGAATTAAAAGGCTATCCACAATGCATCAAATGTCATAATGAAGGAAAACAAGAATTTGTTGACTATGTTCCAATAAAATTAGCTCAGTGTTATAAATGTCAAAAACCAATCGTAAAACCTCAAACGTTTTCGTATTATGAAGATGCCACATATCATAATGAATGTTTTACGTGCAATCGTTGTGGACTTAATTTAATTAATAAACCATGCCATCGTCTGGGATCAGCTATTGTTTGTCCCACATGTAATTAAACAGTTAAAATATGGACATTATCATTATTTGAACTATTTTAGTCTCTCACCATAGCCCTCCTAGTCTGATTCATTTAACCTGCGTTACTTCTGTTTTTAAAATAATAAGTTGTTGAGTTTTGAAATAAAGGTATAGTTATTGCGAATCTATCGGAATTGTAGTCCACAGTTCTCTCTGGACGACAAACGAAACGAATGCACATTGAACATTCTATTTGAATATGAAACTTCTTAAAAGTATCAACATTCGGTTGCTGATGATATTTTGAAAAAGCGTGACTCTTTATATAACGTTGAACATTGCAAACTGCTAGAAGATCGAAAGCTAGACGAGTTTATATCAAGTATTCACAATTGTAACGCCAAAAAAAAAGGATTGAAAATAAAGTCCTAGTTTGATTCTATTCATGCCGACCAGACGCAGGAACGAGTATACTAGTATATGCATCATAATAAAGTGTATCAAGTACTTGGATATTCTAATGCGAACCCACGGTGTTTTATGTTAAATTGATTTGATCAGAATATTAGTCTCATGTTAACGATCGCCATTTTGCTGAAAAAGTGCGTTTTAATGAAGTTGAAAAAACATGTATCTGCAAATGGACTCTGTTTGTGGACAGATTTTATCATATTGTCAATTAGCGTTGTGAGAAAAAAAGTCCCTCGCTAAGGACATCCGAGATGTTTTCATATCTTTCTTTCCTCAGCTTATATTCATAGGGTTTTCGACATTTGGATAAGGAAAATCTTTTTTGATGTTTTATTTATAATTTTCTGTCGAATGGATAAAACAAGACTCTTATATGTCCTTGATTTTACTAGGATTCTATAGACGGGGCATGGGTCGACACGTTAGATGCTTCTCTTCAAAAGTATACGTGCAGTTTTTTGAAATTTTTTGCCTTCGACGAGAAAAGTCAATTTTACTAAGCACTGTGCCCAAAACGCCAAATCCTTTTCCGGTTTTTTGCAAGTTTCGCTAAAAATACAATTATGGCTCAACAGAAATCCTCTGAAGATCTCAGCAGTGTCTCTATCGAATTCTCCTTGGTTTCTTACCTACTTGGCGCTCTCATAATTGTATTTTTAGCGAAACTTGCAAAAAACCGGGAGGTTTTTGTTCAGATCGAGAGTTCTAGGACATTCGCCAGTGTTGGAAATATCCATGCGTGAACTGTTATCCGATCATCCAGCCTTTAAGACTGTAAGAAATTCACTATTTTAGGAATCCTTCCAAAACTATTACAGTAGTTCTCTCTTTTCAGGTTTCACGTTTAGAGCAGCTGGCTGGAAAGTATGGTGTGACGATAAAATTCTGTCCCAAGTTCCATTGTGGACTCAACTGTATTGAGGGGCTGTGGTGTTCTCAGAAGCTGTTTGTCCGTCGGAAAACTGATCAGACATATAATACAATGCTGAAGTTGATTGTTGAGTCACGTGAGAACTTTCGAGAAAAAGAGATTTACTTGAAACTGTTACGAAGATTTTGAAGGTGTTTGCAACCTTACGAAGACGGACAGTCGTACGCTGAAGTTATGAAGATGTTTTTTAGTTCTTACTGTGAAGGAGCAGTTAAAACTCACACTCGTATCAGTACATAACGACGAACACTACAAGATTTATTAAGATTATTTTTAAAGCGTCAAGTGACAAGATTTGAAATTCACAAAATGAGACGCTGGTCCAATGGAGGAAAATTTATCTGACTCACGAGGAAATCAATCCAACTGTTCGATCGCTTTTTTC